ATTATTGTGCAAAATAAGCAATAAAATCTTAGAAAATCAAAATCATTTATTTCAAAAAGAAATATCAACATGAACTAAACTGAATACTGCTTCTTTAAATAAATGGAAACAAAGAAAAGAGATTTAAAGTAGCTAACAGAAACAGCCTAGTAGTGTCTGCTTTAGACTATGGCAATAAACTTAAATTCTTAAATTGCTTGTCAGAGCAATAACCTGCCTGTCAGGGCATGACCTATAGCTGACTTTTTCGGCCAATGTCAATATTATTTAATATTGTCTTTAACACATAAGTTTGAACACTTGTTCAATAACACAATGGGTCTAAGAAAAAGACCAATGCAACAAATACAGAGGAAATAAGAGTTTAACCCATCCTGTGAGGTATGCTTATGTTCTTGCAAAAACACATTTAAAATACAATCTCAGAATTTACTGAGAACATTTTGACTATGCATCTATATGGATCAAAAACAACATTTAGGGGAGAAACTGTAATAGGCACCTGTGCCAAAACATCTTGCAACTTGCAGTTTACGTCTTAAAATAGTCCTGTGAGGTTGGTTTGTGTTTTTACTTCTTAGTTCCGGTGGGAGTCTGGGTGGGTGTAAACGGCCCTGATTCAAATCTTGTGGATCAGTTTGTTAGTTCCTCTGTTCCTCCGTAGCATTATTCCAGTGTTGCCACTGTCAAACAATAACAAACAAATATTATACAATCAGGAATGTACAATATACTCTCCAAGCTAATGCTTAGAAAGCTAATAATACCAGTTCTCTTGTGGCTTAATGTGGCAATGCCAGACTGTCAAAACAACACATTGACAGAGAGCAAGATTAAGGAGAACTAACTGATCTATATGAAGTCCCATTCAAAGTCAAGGAGGTTCTTCAGTAGCATGGACATGTGTGTGTTGACTGCAGAAGACTTCCTCTGGACCATCACACCTTTCTCCTTGGAGACAACCTTGCCCCTTGTGGCCTTTGTCCCTCTCTCTGGATTTATGCCAATGAAGCGCCTGAAATCAAAATAGTCTAAGATCAGAGTGGGGTTGCAACGACATACTCTTTTGTGTACATTCGATTAAATTCAATAAATTGTTTTTTTGTCTTCTTCATTGCACAAATAGAGTGGGCCTGAATGACAATAAAGTGACATCAAAATGGAATTATAATACAGCCTTAGGCCGATAAAAATGTTTTTACCTCTGAATGAATTCCAGAGTACAGACTGCCTCATCTTGATACTGAATATGTAGTAGATTGCAAACACAGCAGCAAGTCCCGTTGCAAATGTTGGTGTGATGCCCTCAGAGAAAACACGGCCCTCAAGGGTGATCCTCCAACCTCCAACCGTGACTTGCCCTGTTGACCTGAAACTTCAATCAATTCAATTCTTCAATTTCTCAATGTGTCTATCACAGGATCTAAATGAAATGTATACCATGAAGTATCAGGCGAGGACTTGCAGGAAGACTAAGAGTTGTCTCAATGTCAGCTGCAGTGGCAGACACCTGTAGGGAACAAATACATACATGCAACATTTTTAACATGAAAAATTATAAAAAGGTAAATAATTAGTAAACAGAGAAACAAAAAAGAAAACTAACACCTGCAAGAAGGATCAGCCCGGTTAGGTCCTCCCCAAAGTGTGCCATGAGCAGCTGAACAACACGAAGTGCCACCTCATTATCTTCACMTTTAGAGATGACATCCTTGACATCTTTGGTAGTAGGTTTTTCCCTGAAGTGTGTGTGATGGCTCTTCCACATTCCTCCATACTGAGTTCCAAGCTACGAAGCACATGATGTCTATGAGCAACTCAAAATATGCGAAGATCATTTCTGGCTGCTTTTTAGTGCCACTGTATCAGTCTTAACGCTGAAATGTTTAACCTTAACTTTGCAATGTTAAGATTATGAAAGAAAAAACACAGCTGATGCAAAACGGTTTAACAAAGCCTTGAGGATTCAAGTGTCTCTTTTACCGAACTAGCTTAATTCTGTTAACTCATTGTAAAACACACTTCATTAAAAGTCGACACAAACAAAATAAAAATAAAAGAAAGAAAGAAAATAAGATTTTAATTAACGTACCGTTCATATGCAAGACCAGAATGTTGGTGATTAAGACAGATTGTGCGTCGTGTTGTGTCTCTTCTGGAAAATTTCCAAAAAATACCGTAGTGTCCCGTAATTTAAAACAGTAGCATACCGTTTATGGCCTCTGTCCTGTTGCTCCAAGTTAAGAAGCCCACAATGCATTGCTAACTACAGTACCAAACTGTTAGAAATTGGCTGTAAATTTACAGCAATTGCTTAAGGTTCATGCCCCCATTGTGACTATACACACAGCTCAAGTCAGACAGGGTGGAGTGTTCACATGTATCTAACGTTATCCAAGACATTCAGGAGCCTGCCTGTCTAACTGATGGACTGTCATTATGTCGGTAAAATCTGAAAAGAATCTCCAATGAAGCTGGTCACAGCACGTCTGTGTGTGTGTGCCGAAGAAATCAGACCGGTCAAAGCATGTTAAAGTGATAAACACTCATCAGAATGACATATTTGGCACACATGCACACATTCTTTCTATCTTTACCCCCTCTCCCCCACACACATGCACACACATGCACACACACACCGTCTCCGGTACCACACATTCAATCTCATTGGCTATTGAATCCCTCTCCTTGAAGAGTCTTAAATACCGTCTCTCTCTGGTCAATGTGGAACAGTAAATCTGTCCGAACCATACTTCAAAGACACATTGCTCTCACTTTGTCTTAGTGTGTGTGTGTGTCTGTGAATGTAATAGAGTTGAGATCAAAGCCTGCAAATGTACTCATACACATAAATGCACACCCAAACCAGCTGTGAATGAGGTCAGAATGTTTCCTGTAAGAGAGGGTGTGTGTGTGTGTGTGTGTGTGCTTGTGTGTGTGTGTATGTGAGACTAAACTCATGTTTACATCTACTCTCGTTTCCTTTTAAGGTATAATGCTTCATGTTTTAAGCACATCTGGGCCACTTAATAGAGTCTAAAAACAGAGACAGCGATCAGAACCTGCAGACTGAAAACTTCTCAGGATGTAGCCTCTCGTCACCTGACAGCTGCAGTACCAAACTTTTACCTTCCTACTACCTCTATTTATCTCACGACCGTCCTCACATTTTTATGGTATTCATTTTACAAAATTAACAAATGTATATACAAATGTAAATTTATCTCAGTAGACTGTAAATTGATTGATTTTTCTTGCATTCGTATGTTACTCACTTTTTATTGAGAGACAACAAAGGTTGATGGTGTAAATCAAGCTTTTTTCACTTAATGTGCAATACCCTCACTGATGTGCTGATGCAAATAAAGGTGCAATAAGGACCAAAGTAGACTTACATAAATACATACATAGCAGATAATCCAAATTCCTGTCAGCATCGTTTCGAAGTATCTTGTAAATGCTTATAAAATTTATGAAGCAATATTTTTATATAAACAAATATTTTAGCCAATATTGCCAAATTCACTGGTGCTATGGAAACGTTCTTCTTTTCAGTGGCAATGAAGTGGAGAGGGCACCAGGGAGGTGCCCTTCTCATCATCCCATTTTGTACAGTTGGATGCTGGAGCAGCTGAGGATTGAGTGTGTGTGGTGGACGGTGAAGAAAGCAACAGCATCCTGTCGAGTTTTGCTCCTGCATGACTCGGTATCTCGCTCACAGCCAGAGGATGTTGAAGTTATAAATAGATTAATCACACAGGCTAGATTTACCTCTCATCTCTGTGCTAATTTTCAGGTTAAAGCCAGAAAAATGCTTCCTCCTATGTCGCACACTGGCATTTCATTTTTACTTTGATAACTAAGTTTTAATCTTGTCTCTTGGTGATTGACATTGAAATAGTACTACTTCTAAACATCTTTTAAGAAGCCCCTTTGAGTAGAACTGGGGACCAAGATATCCATCTATGTAAAAATGCTCCCACTGAGAACAAACATACAAGAACACATGACTGTGTTTTGTTTTCACCCAGGTCGTGCTCCATGAAAAATAAATGAGTCCTGTCTCCGTGGGATGCGCACATGTTGGGTCACTCTGGGATTCTGGGAACTTACTTGGATCATATTACTGGATCAATGAACTTCTGCATCTGGCTTAGCTGCACTTCCCACCGACTGCCCAGGCTTCCCCACCCAAGACACATAACTGTTACTCAGATGATCTCAAACAACAAAATCCTTTCTGCCAAAAAGGTGACCAACTCATGTTTTGTTTGGCTTCACAGTTCAGATAAAAGTTAAACCACCTTGTTGTAGTACCTTAAGTGCTGACATCTTTAAAGCCACTTATTTCATGAAGTCCAATGAAATACAGACAAAAATCTCTTTGGTGTAAGAGATTTCACAGAATACTTATTGACCTTACACCTTAATTAACATTATGATTGTGGTTTAGAGCGATTGATACGTTTGCAGTTTTACAAAATCTGATTTGAATTCATCGCAAACCACTTTGAGTGGTGATTTAAACAATTGGATTTCTTGTCTTGTTTGCCACCTGGTGGCTGGCTGCCACATAGGTCCTAACCTCGCCTCCTTCATGTAAGTTAATGTGAAACCATCCAAACTAAAGTGTGAATGTCAAAGATGGTTGTTTTAAGTAGTTCTCATCCTACTGATGCATGTTCAAGCGTGAAAATGGGGTGAAACATCATGATTGACAGCTCAGACCTGATACTGGCACTCCCTCCCATGATGATTACAGCGCAGACTCTGTCTCCAAATGACGTCAAAAGCACAACAGGGCATTCCTGTATCCAGAATAGTTTGGCTTCATGTTTATACAAAGCGAAGCAATGGAGGAGACGTGTCTTCCATTATATATACAGTCTATGATCAAGATGCACAACACTGCAGCAGCATGAAGCTCCTCTAACTAACAAGCAGCAATAAAAGGTTGTTACGAGCTGCACTATGTCATTTTCACAGCACATGTTCTGTTTTCACGTCTAAGAGCATGATTTCCTCTGGTGATCAGTGTGACTGAGTCTGCACTGATCAGGTATTAGACATATACACCGAAGATATGTGGCAACCGAGTGGAACAGTCCAGACAGAGTACACTTTGGACCTGGCTAGACTTGTCGTAGAGATGTGCTTGGTTTCCAGGAACCCAGAGACCCTGTGATGAGGTCTAATCAGACAGATAGATTCAGATTGATTTGTAGATAGTGATGATAGTGATAATGAGATTTGAATTAATTTATTCACCATCTGTTCCCTATATGCTTCCATCTGACTCCACACTACCTTTTCTCTGTCAAGCACTAACGCTGTTTACTTTACCTCATGGTTTTTCTTTCATCTTGTCCACTCCATATCTCCCTGCCTCACAAATGCGTCGTTCTCTCTGCCTCTCTGAGTCCAGGCTGTTTTAGTCATTAGCTGACATGCTGATACCATCTCAGACACCTGTTCTCTCCTTCCAATGCTGTTTCTCCTCATTCTGGCTCACTGTCTCTCTCTTCCATTTCTCCTCTCTCTGCTTCCTCTCCTCCTCCCTCTTATCTGTTCAGCAGGTCTGCAGAGAACAAATTAGACCTGCTAAATTAAGCCGCACACACAGCTCTGGCCTAGCTGAAGGGAAGCTCTCTGTGTGTGTGTTTGTGTGAATAAGATGGAAAAAGAAATGCAGGAGCTGTTTGAAAAATGGGTAAAACTGATGAAATGGGATAACCCTCAAGCAATGGATTCTGCTTCAAATGAACAGAGAAAGGATTATTTGACCAAAAGAAATAATACAAAGGGTGAGGAGGGTGCAAAGACAGAAAAAAGCAGAATGAGAGTCTGAGGAAGAGAGATAAGACAGTTGTTTGTGGTTTTTGCAGTGGTAAAAGTAGGTACATTTAGTCAAGTATCAAATCCTGAGTAAGGCTGGGCGATATTTTTCCCTTGATTACAATTAATGAACGATTATTTCATATTTCATGGAATACATCACTGGGTGCATTACTCAGTGTCGGTCAACAAGCGACTCTGCTCGAACTGTGTGTGTGTGTGTGTGTGTGTGTGTGTGTGTCCTCATCCCTTTCACGCTTCACACAAACTGACCATTGCATTTATTTAGTGTTGTGTGTAAACTGTGGACGCGAAAAAAGTTGGAATATTTTTCAATGTGTTTAAATACATGTCAAACACAAAGTAAACTTCAAGTCCTGTAGTCTACGTGTCCTAATAACTTGCAGCAGGGTGATAAGGCACAGAACTAAATCGAAAACCGAACATTTCGTGAGTGCACGCATTGGGGAAATTATTAACCAACATGTGCAAAATTAGATCGGTTAGAGGTTATAGATGTCTGTTTTGATAAATTAATTGCAGAGCCCTAATCCTGAGGTACTTTAAATTGTTCTCATCAGGTTGGATGGAACATTGTGAACCTCTTGTGTCTTTAGTTGAGGTAATTATAGGTATCAAAGCATAAAAATGGATCCCAAATGTGTTTTTTAATAATAAACTTTTTAATAAAAGGTGTCAAATTAAAGCTGTGAAAACTGATGTCACAAACTAACACCTTTCCTCTAACTCCCCCAAAATAAGATGACTCACAAACCAGTAAGAATTTGATCTGGTTTCCATGTCAAATCAAAAGGCCGCTGGCAGCTGAGTCGTCTCTGAGAGGCTGACTGCTAAAAAGAAAACTAGCAAGGTGAGGGCCAATGTATACTTTTGCATTGAAATGATGCTGTTTGTATACAGGTTTGGCATATAGCTGTGTGCTAAACAGTAGCCAGTGCTGTAGCCAGACTTGCACCTCCTAAGTAATCTAACTACAGGCTGTGGAGACTAGACTGTGATTTGTCCTCTTAGTAGCTTGTGCTCTCCATGTTTCTCAGTGGCCCAGACAAGCCAATCCTAAGTCACTGATTCCAAAGATGACATTACTATACATCTGCTCCCCATTGTTTTTTTTTCTGTCAAATCCAAAAGAAAGTTAGAAGAGAAAACAAATTACTGGTTGTTTTGGTCTTCATAGGATTTGCTGACAAGAAACATATAGAACAACGACAGCTTTATCTTTAAAATGTCATACAATCTTAGTGACTGTATAAAAAACAGTATGTCTGTCTTGCTTTCTCTCTTTGCCTTGCCATTTATTCCATCTTTGCTCATACCAGGGATTTTTATCAGATGATAAGCGATGCCACTGGTTCAAGCTCGTCAGCGATGCTGTGTCTCTTCTCCTCCTTCTCTCCTCTACTCATAAAAGAGGAAGTCAAGGAACATCTTTAAATGCCTCTTTCTCTCTCTCTGCTGCTGTCCCTCTTCCCCTTTCCCCTCGATTATAGGGAGGGAGAACATCTTCAAATCAGACTCCCCCTATTTCATTCTTTCCTCTTCCTGACAGAATGACAAGGCTTATCTCCTTATCCCTTCATTTCAACACTTTCTCATCCTCCCCAGCCACCCCTCCCCCCATCCTTCCATCTCTCCTCTACTGTCGAATGGACATGTGAGAAAAGAACAGTTGGCTAATACATGTTGGCATTTTACCGACCATGTTTCTAGATCCTCCCTCGCTCCCTTCCTCTCTGTTTATCTCCTCATCATGCCATTTCTCTCTTTTATTGTCAAGTGAGGGTAATAGAGTGAAAGAAGCATTTCACCTGGAGCAATGCAGTGGTACTCAGGCTGAACCCGATGTGACAAAAAAACTTTAAGCCGTGTCCCACATAGAAGCTTGTGATTCATCGTCAGCTGTGTGTGTGTTTGTGTGCTGGTGCGTGCGTGCGCATGTGTGTGTGTGTGTGTGT